ATTTACCATTGGCTTAATAAGGATGTGCAAAAATTAAAATAGGTCTCTCTTAATAGTCAACACAGGAAATTTATTTCATGCATGTAATAGCACTTAGAGGTAATATTTCTGTGTTGTGTCTTTTTAGTGATCTATGACTACACAATTGTGTGCTTTCACTCCATGCATACAGGCAAGCTCCCTTTTCCAACCCCTAGTTGGAAATGACTGCCTACTTTTCTGTCATTCTTGTTTTGCTTTGTATTTTTTATGTGTGGTTTGCTGAATCAGAAAGCTTCCTGGGAGTCATATCAAAGTTTACATTTTATAATTGAACGCATTGCCCAAACCACCCTGAAATTTATACATTTCAAAATGGAACCACTGGGGCTGGGGTGGGTGGTAGCCTGGTCTGTGTCCCACCAGGCAGCTTGTACATTCTTAGCAGAAACTGATGGCTGGGAAAGAAAGCATTTGCTTTTTCCTTGGAGAACTGTCTACTTAGAAGGGACTCGATGGTATTTCGGAGGTACATATTTTAGAAGGTCTCTTTGACATTTTGGTAGGAACACACTTCATGTTAGAGATATTGGCTTCCTGCGAATAAACCAGCATGGAGACAAAGTAGAGGCAGGAGATGTCATGTGTTAGTATGTGATAACACAAAGTCCCATAGATTGACAGTGGTAGTGGAAAAGGGGCGGAGCCGAGTTACCCAGACAGTACACCCTAGTCTGTCTGCACGATTCTCACAAAGGGTCTAAATCTTCAGAGCAGTGCTTCTCAGTCAGGGCTGCAACTGGCATCACCTAGCAAACTTCTAAGACTGGTCATGGCTGGACCCCAGACCCGATTCTGAATCAATGGGTTAGGGATGCAGTCAAGACCCAGAGAGCACTTTTAAAGGACCATCATGGTTCTAATGTATGGCCAGGGTGGAAATCCATTACTGTGTGACTTCTTCATGGTGAAAAAGTGGAGAGGTGTGTATGTCTTTATTAGAATAATCAACAGTCTATGTTGTAACAAAAATTCCTAGGCTATCAGAGACTTAAGGCTATGAACTTGATTTCCTGTGGGAAGGACCATGAGTTTGTTGTTTTCCAATAGACCTGGAGATAAGCATCCTGGCACATGGCTCTAAACCCTCTGTCCAAATACAGTCTTTTTGTGGGTTTGGGAAGAAGCAGAGTTGGTGACTACTTAAGTTTCTGCTCCAGATAAATACCATGAAAGTATTAAAACAGCTTTCCTTTGTACATGGTATCTATAGGCCCCTAACTTGGGACCACCTCTTAGCATTTCAATATTAATGTTCAATATTAACCTTACATAGCAATTTTCCTGGTATGCTTATAGAGGCAACAATACTCCAAAGGACATTTGGTTATAATTTTTTAGCAGGAACTGACAGGACCTATTTAGATGAATGAACTCACCATTTTATGTACAGACCACCACAGTATTTCATGGGGAAGATACAGAAGAATGTGTTTCTGACTTTGGTGATTTATAGCTTTACAGATGTGGATGGTAAACATACTAGTTTCCTGTATGTTGCCTCCTAGGGATGTGAAACTGAGGTTTATAACACATTAACACTTTAGGTCTTAAATGATATGTGTAATTTCTAGCTTGCTAGATCTCTACTTTGCCTGAACATACTGTACTTTAATCTTTCATATTTTGTCACCCACAGTGAATGGGGACATGCTATGTTGTTGAAGGTTAGGGTGCGTTAGTCTCATCTCAACCTCTGTAAAGTGAGAAAACTTTGGCAAGACCCCCAGTTCCAATAAATATCCAAATAGAGATGAGAATCAGAGATGTACAGTTCTCGAGGCTTAAATTTAGAAAAAATAATATATATACATATAATGGGTAATAAATATGGCAGGATAATACAGAGAGGGTTACACTATTAGCACCGATTCCCAGACTCAGAAACACAAAGGAATTGACCAGGTCAGATGGCTCTCTCTCTCAGTGCACTTTCTCTGTAGGTCAAACATCACAGACTCTGGGGAGAAAACCTTGCCAATGATCAACAAAGAACATTGAGAACAGTGAACCTGACTTCCTGTCCTTTCAGTAGGTGTGAGGTCTGTGTGGGCAGACGATGGGCAGGATCTAGAGATATTATTTCCTGGGTGCTGCTGCATAGGCCTTGACTCCATATGGGAGTTCATGCGGCCTGCAAATGACCCTGGAGCAACCACAAGAACACAGGAAGCAACAAGTCAAAAAAGGTCTGTTCCCTGCTGGAGCCTGCAGCGCTGGGGCTTGATCTTGGGACCATCCAAGAAGCACAGAACACATCCAGAAAGGATGGTCTCAATGCAGTGGCAGACATGAAGAGAGAATAGCACCTCAAGCTAGCTGTGTGTAGTTATGAAAACACACAGTTCTGACATATGACGATCTCATTAATCATTTCAACGGGTTTGGCTTTCTTCTCCAGAGTTCAGCTCACCATGTAGACACAACTCCACATGCCCATGACGCCTTTCTGTCCGTGTCTGGGAGGGTGGATGGGGGGTGTGATCATAGTCAGGATGTTTTCAAATGTCTCTATTTCCAGACCAAAAAAAGTTTAATCGTTTAGGCTCAACTTAATTCTCCCCAAGCGAGTATTTTAGGGTGAAGAGGAAATGGATCTCTTCGAATTTCTGCAAGTCCCAGCACAGCTGCAAAGAGCAGGTCAGGTGGGATGGGAGTCAGGCAGGAAGTAATGAAGGAAGACAACTTCTCTGCCAAATGCCCTGCCTCTGTGCTGCTTAACCTTGAACCCCAGCTCTGGTCTGCACTGCAGAAATACCGAGAAGCCTTGGTGCCTTCTAGCTGACGTTGTAACCAATCCCAGAGGACAAAGAAGAATGAAGGGTGCTAAATACTTTTATGAAATATGAGTAATCACAAGGGTAAAAGTTATACTGGCTAACGAGCCAGCATGAATCATAACTTACCTGCTAGGACTACTCAATTGGAGAAGATGATATGTAACATCCACTCTCCAACAATCAAAAGTGACTGTTATACACACGTGGAAAAGTCAAGGATGCAAACAGCCCGCCTTCTAAAAAGATGGCCATGGCTTTTTTTTTTCCAGAAAAAGAAATTGGATCCATTAGTAATTAGTTGAAATAACAGATTTTGTGGTACTGTCATGTCCTGCAGTGTCAAATGGTCTAAACACATGCGTATGCAGACATGTGAGAAGCCAATATTTCTAGTAGTATTCATCTCCTACTACTTAAAAACAAGCCAGTGAATAACTGTGCTTCTATTATGTCTCTCAAAACTACAATTGAAGCTATTTGAAACCCCAGCAGTTTATAGGTATGTACATATTTATATTATCAATCCAATTGTCCTTTATTTTCACCCATCAAGTTTACAAGCATGATTTCTGAAGTGAAATAGTGTTTGTAATGGCAGCATCCAAAGCACTTTTGGCTGGGTAAAGCACGATTTGTTGCACAAAAATGTAGCTGTTTATGCAAGTCTAAACATTTCACAAGGGCAGTTGAGTTCATTTCTACGCTACTTACAGAATAATTATTGGCAAATGAAATGGGCTGTGGGAAAGACAGGGTATTTTTCAAGCTTCTGAATGGTATACAGCACAAATTCTTTGACTAGGAAAAATAAAATGGAAAGGCCCAGGACAATGGAAGGTGCAGGTTGAAACCTGGGGACAGAAGGGATTTTACAAGAGAATATTTGCAGTGGAACAATGAGGAAACTTTTATGTTACAGTCAGAAACATGGAAAATATGCTGTTCAACACTGCTGGCTCTGGAGTAAATAAAATCCAGATTTAGACTATTAAAAATATCAAAGTGGCTTACCATGCGCCAACTCCATTTTCTTCTGTTGTTTGTTATAAAGAAAATCTATTATTGAATGGACTACAGTTCTGTTTAAATTATCAAGACATTGTCCATATGAAAACCATAGTTTGACATGTGTTATCAATTATTCTCTAGCAATTTTAATATACTTCTATCACAGAGAGATAGGTGCAGAGTTAAAAGGAAATTCCAAGTTGTATTTTAACCTCCTCTTCAAGGCACTGATCCCACTCATCTTCAGCTCATCTCTCTTGAGCAACAATTATGATCAAGATTCCTCTGGGCAGAAAAAAAATCAGAGTTTAAAAAAAAAGAACCACAGACAAACCAGCCAACAATGCACTCCAAAAGATATTCATGGGTGTTAAGTGGGTATCAGCACCCTTGTCTAGCCTAGCTGAACTGACTGCATTGCAAGGAAACCCATCCTCTCAATGGGTTGCTTTCTCATTAGGAAGAGATGTGTTTAAACTAGGACTTACAGCAGTTGACACCAGTTTTGCCTTCTGGAAAAGCATAGATGGTAGCCTATTCCCCTGGCTTTAGCCTAAGGCTTCCAAGAATTGGAGAGGACTTTCCCATGGCTTGGAAAATTCCACTCTCATCCTTCCTTCAAGTAACAAGCCTAATTCATCTTATTTTCACTACCACAAACTGTTTTGCTGGCCTGAGGGATTTAAAAAATATTTTCTCCTATTAACTGAATGAGATTAACAGTTAAATATTGAATATTGCATTTTAAATAAACCAGCATTTTTCAAGTTAGGACATTTGAAAACCAAGACTTGCAACTTTCTGTTGGATTCCATTTGACATCAGCTCTCTGTAATTAGTCTAGCACTGACCAACAACAGATGTGCAGGGGGAAAGATGGAACACCTTGCCAATGTTATGTACTTGAGGGGAAGGGGCACAAAGTTCAAATGCTCTAAGAGAATGACTGAATTTTATATTTGGGAGTTCTTAAATCTGGGAGTTTAGAAGTCACAAGATTAATTAGTCACATTTTAGAAATGATGCTGCACTCTATTGTCTTCCTAGCATTCACAATTACAGTACACACACACACTTAATCTGTAATCACTAATCAGAGGACCAGCTAAAGATGTGAGTTCTTCTAGTGCTTATGCTACGTGCCCATAGAAGCCATAGATAACAGACCAAGGATACTTTAAACCCAAGAGACTTTATTTTTCCTCCAGAAAGGTCCCCATCCCCAGCCTCAAATCCACACAAGAACACAAAACCAAGGAGTAAACTAAAAAAGGGAGGGAGGGTAGGATCACTTTATTGTGACATTATGACATTAACCCCTTGTTGACAGGAATGACTGAGAGTGACTTTGGCATATTGCACATGCGGTGTGATGTAGGGTGTACTGGTGATCCTCTGGTGGCTGAGGCTGCGTCCTTGTCTTCCCCAACCTCAGTGCACAAGTGGGCCAGTCACAGATTCCACTACCACCTGCTGTAGATGTTTAACAAGTCTTTGGTCTTAATAAGCACCATTACAAACCCTCACATTAAGGGCTTTATTATTCTAGTTTATAAATGTTTCAATGATAAAAATAACACGATTACAGTATACACACACTTAATTTACATGTAATGTATTATACTCATAAGTGAGATAAGCTACTGAACTAACTTTGGTTGATTGAAATGAATGAAGTATCTGAACTGAATACTTGGCAATTTGGTTTCTAACTTGTGTACTTATTACAGTGCATCAATAAATCTATTTTGAGAATTTGCTAGCACCAAATAGACATCATAATCGGCCAACCTACTACTCGCACTTGGAGAAGCAAAGTTTTGAAATTTGAAAACGAATGGAACAGCCCATCAAATGGAAATATGTTCGTGTGCGGCAGCCGGAAAGGTAGCCGTTGGCATGAATGGCCAATCTCAGTGGATATTCATGTCCCAGTTTTCAGGAATCAACACGTATGGCAAGGTAGCTGAGCTGCTACTCATGAGAAGCCTGAGAAAGTGGTTGTTTGAACTAGGATCATCACTGTACCTTGATGTCATTCAAGAAGAGTGCTCGTTTATACAGATCGCCTTGGTGAATGATTGTACCATGCTGTGAAGGTCTGGTTTGGGGAAAATAGAATTCTACCTACCTAAAGTTACTTTCGTTTTAATTATTTGGTCTCTGGATGGTGAATTAATGAAGCAGGATCTGAATTTTCATCTTCAGGTTGTCACCCAGTTCTCCGCTGAGGTAGTCTTTGTCATGCCTGTCTTCTAACTGATTAAGTTCTTTCTTTTTATAAAGTGGAGTGCTGCTGATTTGCAAGGAGTAGGTCCCGGCCACCGCCTTCTTCTTCGTGAAGTGGAGGTAGCTGACACCTTCTTTCTGGTTGATTTTAAAGAAGCCATCTTCATTTCCAGATTCAATCAAGTATCTGTTGTGGTTCGTCAGAGTGGTGAGGGCTGGCAGGAGCTCTAAGATTCGGACCTTGTGGTTGATGTGGGAAATATTGAAAGCAAAGCTAGCTGGCTTCTCCACATCCCAACTCGCGAGGCTCACGTTGGCTTCCATCTCAGACCCATCCTGGAAAGACACGCGGAGATGCCATAAATTCAACTAAATATGTTCTTTGGTTCTCATACTAAAGAATAAGCCATTCAAGTCTCAAGTCAAATAAAATTTTCTGTCCATGCCATATATGTTATGCTGAAAATGCACACTCAGAGGTACTTTTTTAAAATCACAAATGTGCTTTCAAAGAATTAAACTGATGGCAGGAAGTCAGGTTGAAATTATTTGTATTGGGGGAGGGGGAGACTCTTGGTAGGTCTTAAAGTGTGTTCCCTGAACCAGCAGTTGTAACAGCACCTGGAAACCATTAGGTATGTAAATTATTAGCCCCTCCCAGACCTGTTGAATTAGAATCCCTGGGGCTCTTCCCAGCAATCCGTCCTAACAAGCCTTCTGGGTGATTCAGACCTGGAGTTTTTTGAAGCACTGTTCACAGATTTCCTTTCCAAAGACTTATTTCCCAAACCACAGCAGGTGGGTTGCACTGCTGACACTCAGACTCAGAACTCGTCTACTTCAATTTTGCTCACTGACACTCAAATCATCCCCTTGGAAGGACACACCTATGGACCTACTTCCTGGCTGTGTTGAGCTGTTAAGGTTTGTGCTTTTCACGGAGCTTTCTGCTTGCATCTTTGGGACCATATAGGCTAAGGCTCCCAGCCTGGAGCCAGAAGATCACAGCATCATACGGTCCTGCTCACCATCAAAGTCCCCCACACTCCCTGTGGCTCTTTTTCCATGGAGGAGAGCCTCTAGTTTCTAGACCTTGGCTTCCCTGTGTAGAGAGCACTGTGTGTGCATACCATTCTGCCCACTTGCTAGCCCTGACTTCAGACCTTGTCCTTTCTGCAGACATTGGGTGGGTGTTTGACTTTCTTCTTGGTGAGACAGAGGAAATGAGCAAGTGTGTGAAAACCTTTCAAACTGCCATTCTCAAAAGGCAGCCTAAATAAATAAATAAAATAAAACCAAACACCCCCCCCAAGCCCCATAGCCTCTTGTAAAATATTGCTAGAGCCAGGAGAATGACTGGACTTCCTGTCTGGGAGGTTGTTCACACTTCAGGGTGTCCTTGGAGGAAAACACAGGCACCCAAGAGCCCTTACATATCTGCAGACAAGGAGGGACTCCAAGGTACCTGGACGTCCGAGGCGTCTGTTTCGTTTGTGCTTCGCCGTTTCCTGCCTCGTTTGGGGTAGCCATTGATCTTACACTCATAGCAGGCTTCTGGGGATAGTGAATTGTCGTCCATCTCACCACTGGCAGGTGGCTCTGGGCCTCCTCTGCCCATGCCCATTCCAGAAACGCAATGCCTACGGCAGAAAGGAACACACAGGCAGTTTCCATCAGATTCAATAGCTCTGATGCCCAGCCTCCTGGATGCCCAGCCTTCTGGATGCCCAGTCAGTCTCCTGGCTAGTAACATCACATTGCCCACTGGACAACCATCTGCTTCTAAGAACCATACAAACACCCTCTGTCATTGAGCTCCAAAATGCCTAGTCCCCTGAGTACAGAGTCCTTTCTCTCAAGACCCTGGTTTGTATACTTCCTTGTCCTTTCATCTCCCAGCCAACTGGCACAAACCTTTGCAGTACTCTGCAGGGAGGGGCACACTGAAAACTGAAGATCAAGAGTGAAAGAGATCATGTGACTTGGTGGGTCACTGAAACATGTCTTCTTTTATTATGAGTCAGGCCCCTGTCAGTTGTACCTTTAGGAGACAGCACTGAGTGGGCAGGTGGGACATCTCTGGGGCCTCTTTCCTGGACAATGTATTTTTTTCTACACTGTGACCTTGATTTTTATGTTTTAATTTTTAAAATCAGCATATGTCAGATACCTTATGACATATTATGGGCAAAGTGTATTTTAGTGGTTTTCTTTCTCCCATGTCTCCTACCCTCCTGCTGCTACCTCTGCTCCTACTAAACCTCCACCCCAGTCTTTTACCCTTTCATGTCCTATGTTTCTGTTTTATGTCCCTGTCCTAACCACTGCCTTTGCCACCACTGCTGCCCCTGCTGGCTCAAGAGGGTATTGTGCAGTATGGTGTGCTCTTTCTTGGGTTCTTATAGATCACTTCTTATCCTGTTCCACTGCCACCACCGTGCCTCTGCAGTCCACTTCCTAAGCAATCACTTATAAATACAAGTTTACTCTTGCAGGTGTTACTGCAGCACGAAGAGAAGTCTAGGTGATTACCGAGGGTTTGTATGGTACTGTGCTGTGATGATGAAAAATATATTCTCTCTCTCTCTCTCTCTCTCTCTCTCTCTCTCTCTCTCTCTCTCTCTCTCTCTCTCTCTGTCTCTCTCTCTGTCTCTCTGTCTCTGTCTCTGTCTCTGTCTGTCTCTCTCTCTCTCTCTGTCTCTCTCTCTCTCTCTCTCTCTCTCTCCCACAGGGGTTCCCTGTATAACAGCTCTGGCTGTCCTGGAACTCACAGAAATCCACCTTCTCTGCCTCCCAAGTGCTGGGAATAAAGGCATGGGTCACCATCGCCTGGCTATACAATATATTCCCACATACAGCATGAGTTGGCGCAGAGCTTGCCCAACTGTGGGAAACGGTTGAATTTCAAATCATTTAAAACCACTAAGGCCTTTGGATTTGACTCATGTGAAGGCAGATAAACAAACCAGTACCCAAGAGAGATCTAATCCTTGTTTCTTTGCTTTTCAGTTAGCAAAGCCAAGTTATAGACCGAGTCTCACTCAATATTTGATTTGTTTTTGTCAGGCTCCCTGTTTAAATGTGTTGAGAACCTAGGAATTATGCTAAAACAACCTTTATTATGGGGGGTAAAGTTCACTCAAGTGACATCACAGAGAGGCCAAAGCTGTTATAAACGGGTGGATTTCTACCACGAAAAGTGCACAATCCCCACTAAACTGCTTCTCTGTGATGGCTGAGCCAGTCTTTACAGCTCATTTCCTTGTTTGTCTACAGATTTCCAAACACAGCACCAAGTCCCTGGCTAGCTGCTGTTTCTGGCTACACTTTAGCATGTCTTTCTATTTCCCAGGCTCTTCCTAAGTGCACACGTTTCTTTTCCTCTTCAACTAGCAGCAGGGACATAGCTAAGCAAGGAGGAGGATGAAGAGGAAACTGTCCATCCTTGTGCATCCATGCACATGAGGGTTCCAGGAAGTAAACCCCAGTCTGCAGGCTTTCTTTCTTTCCCAGAATTTCCCTCCAGTATTTCCTTGTCCCAAGAGCACCACTTATAAGAAATGTGACTACAAAATCCTATTGGCAAAGAGCCAGTTTGGAGTGTCACAAATTTTTTTCCTGGGAAAAATGGTTCTGGCATTACACTGTAAAAAAATAATAAAAGAGTCAATCGAGAGCCAGACATATGGGACTTTGGGTCCTTCTGCTGGCATTTCGAGAGCTTCCCACGAAGTGGTCTTCTACCTTGACATTTATAAAGACTAGAATAAGTCCCTGAAAGCCAGTGTGTCATAGATTCTAGGACCACTGGGTTCATGTTTGGTATAAATGTGTGTGTGTGTGTGTGTGTGTGCGTGTGTGTGTGAGAGAGAGAGAGAGAGAGGGAGAGAGAGAGAGAGAGAGAGGAGTTAATTAAGAAATTGAGATTCATGAGCTAGATGTACACTCAAGTCATTAAACTTACTAAAACTTTAAGCTATTAAGAAAAATAGTGTACCTTCTCTGCCCCAAACTGTCACATACATATTCATATCATTTGGTAAAATGTTCTACTTGGAAATTACAGTTAATTATTCCAACTCATATTTAATGTGCTTTTTGATCATTTCTAATGTAAATTCAAGAGTGAAGGGCAAAAGATGCCTTACAAACTGTAAGAGATCTCCAGTAAAAGGTATCTATTTTGCTTAGCCTGATGGGAACTAGAAAAGAAAGCCCTGTCAGCCAACAGAGAGCCCAGTATGCTTCCTCAGGAGGTGGCTCAGGTGTGTGGGGTGGGCCCAGCTCTGAGAGGGATGACAGCAGTGTGTTCTTAGCAAATAAACCAATTACTTCTCAGCGGGATTTAAGATTAAGAACATGAAACAGAGAAGCTGTACACAGAAGTATGCACAGTGTAGCTGCATCGCACTGTTGGATATTCTATGAGTTTCTAAAAAACCCGGATACATCCCTTACAGAAAATGCACTTCTCTAGTAGGGCATGTAGTTACATAGACATGCAAATTTAGAAAGTCATTAACCAAGCGCAGGAAGAGAAATACTTACCCTTGGCCTATCCGGAAGTACCCTGGAGGACAGCCACACAGATAGCCACCCTCAGTATTGGAGCAGCCATAACTGCAGGGGGCCTGTGACGAGCCACACTCATTGATGTCTTGGCAGCCTCCGCTGAACTGTTCATACTGGAAGCCGGTGGGACACATGCACTTGTAACTCCCCAGAGTGTTGTGGCAGGAGGCTCCCCCACAGACATGTGCACTCAAGCATTCATTTTCATCTGCAGCAAACACAAGGAAACACGACATAAGTGACGTTTGCCATACACTTCCAAGCAGGATTTTGGCTCATGTTCCTCATGACTGACCACCTGGCCTATAGGTAGGTAGGTAGGTAGGTAGGTGGGTAGGTAGGGCTCAGGGAGAGAAAGCAGGCTGTGTAGCCTTGGTGGGAGAGAACAAGCGGTGGAGATGGAGCTTCTTGCCACGCTGACTAAATATGGTGGAAGAGGTCAAATGAACCTAATGGAGAGCACCCCAGACAGCACTGTGAGACGCCTGGGACTCCGGTTTTCACTGAAAACCAAAGCTGGCATGTTCTGCTCCTCGTGAGGCAGGACCACAGCTATAATTTGGGGTTTAGGGCAGGTGGGAAGGATCATACAGTTATCTGTGTTTCTGCTTCACAAGTGCCTGCAGGATGGATGTCTCCATAGCAGAGAACCACAAAACCACTTCTGCAGAGGCCGCCCGTGGGCCTTCCTGGTGCAGGGTGTGAAGGGCCAGGAAAGCTGATGTCCTGCAGGGGAGTCCACCTCATTTGTACCTCCTTTTCAAGAAGTCTGCCAAGACCTCCAGGTGCCCATGCTCAGGCTAAGTCCTACCTCCTGGTATGCCCGCGTTCTCTCTGAGTCCCTATTCAAACCAGCTGGAGCTCCAGCATGTGAGCCATGACTAAAGCTAACTGTGGCTGGAAGAGATTCCGTGCGGACTTTTCAGACAGTAATGGGAAACCTATGAGACACACATTCGACAGGGCAGTCTATCCATAGGAGTCTGCACAGTTTGGAGGGAGGAGAGAGGAAAATAGAACAATTCTTTAAAATTTTTTAAAGGAAACTGTGTTCATATATGTACATCAGTGTGCCACATGCATGCAGTGCCTGTGGAGGCCAGGAAAGGCTCTAGATCCCCTAGAACTGCTGTTACAGATGGCTGAGAGCCACCATGTGGGTGCTGGGAATTGAACCCAGGTCCTCTGGAAGAGCAGCCAGTAAGTCTTAGCCACTGAACCATGTCTCCAGCCCCACAAATCTAACTCTCGAAAACTTGAGTTCAAATGAAGAAAACTGGCTTTCTATGTACTTTTGAAATCTCTAATATTCTTTCCTAGACCTGCCACTGGAGGGCATGCTGGAGACTCTCCCTGGAGTGTGGCCTTCATTCCTCTGTGGATGGCCACTTCTGGTGGAAGCACAGAGGGAAAGAGCACCCCCTGGAGCCGTACAAGACAGATAGGATGTGGAGGTGTTTCCAGTTCATGTGTGTAAACCTTCCTCCCAAACTAACATGCCTTGAGGCATGGGTAGATATAGGGCAAAATCTGTCAATCTATCCCTTGAATTATTTTGTTTTTTTGCTAATAGGCACAAAGTGGGTCTACATTAGAGGAAGGAAAGTAAATTCATCACACACACACAAAAGAAACATGCAAATATTAACTCTATCTGCTCTGAGAATAGACTATCGAGGAAGAGACCGAGTGCCTCTTGGTATGCAAGCTGAAATGGCTTGTTCTGGAAGGTTTCTTTCTGAGGCAGATGCCAAACTGAAGAGTCTCCAACAGAGACCTCAGGTCTCTCTCTGGGCTTCTGTAATATCCATTCTGGTGGGGTGCTCTCCTCCCTTTTCACAGAGTTCTCCATTTTATTTTACTTCTGACAACATTTAATAAGCATTCATGTTGCTCATCTGGGTGGGGAGCAGAGCACAAATGAAGACCAGCAGTCGTCAGTGCTCAGTGTCTGCCACCTGAGGACAGCATGCTCGCCTACTCAATCTCTGCCTTCTGCAAGCACAGTGGTTTGCTTGACACGTACTGTACTTCTTCTGGCCCCGTCCATCCTGTTTACCCTGAACAACTCACTCTACAAAGAATTTTATTTCCTATCCTCAGCATCTTGATTTATTCTTCTATTTGCAATTTTTGTTGGTGAAGGACATTTAAGCTAGCTCCCTTTTATAAAAAAAAAGGAAAATTCTAATTAACTAAAATATCAGTTAAAGCCCCTGGAAAACCCCTCCTTAGGACGGATTAAAACCCACCACCCTGACCTGTGGCACCAGGGCCACACACTGCATCTTAGTTGTGGTGTTAGCAGTTGCCAGTAAGAAAGCCCCAGACATAGGGCAGGCTTTCTTTGATTGCTTTTCGGTAGGGCCGGATGGGTTCTTCTCCATCTGAGAACTGAAATCTGTTATTTGCTTCCAGAAAGGAATGGGGTTAATAGCCCCTGACCTCTAGCTCAGGCACCAGGAAGAGTGAACTTCTGACAAGCTATGAGTGGCACCCAGGTGGGGCAGGTCCAAGAGATTTGCCCGGTATAGAGCCACACTGGGGGGGACCCATTCCAGATAACTTTATTCTTACTCTAGATAACTTTATTTCTTAAGAGTTCTGAGTCCCATTTGGGATTTGGGCTAACAAGAACCCCAAACTCCTTCTAGCTTCCTAATTGACTTATGACCCGGGCATGATCTTCCTGGAAACAAAAGTCTTCAAGGAACTAGATGTAGAGAGACCCCCAGTGTGGGGGTGCTAGCAGTGCAGTGGACGAAGAAGGTAATGGTGCCAAGGAAGGCTAAGGGCATTTCATCCCAGCTATTCCCAAAGCATCTTCATCACATGCTTTCCTCCTAAAAGACATTCACTTCCCTGTGGTTTCAGTGGGGCAGAGTGACTTTCAGTAGGCTATTGCTGGCTCAGTAACCTTACTTCAGAAGGAAGGCGCCGGCTCCATAAGGAGCCGACAACCAGGCCTCTTCTAGAGACAAGGGGCTACTTGCCTACACACTGGTTCCACTGGTAATGCTGCAGGTAGCCCTGGGGGCAGCTGCACCTGTAGCCTCCGATGATGTTCTGGCAGCCGTGCTGACAGCGGTGGTTGCCCTCGCACTCGTCCACATCTGTAAGAGAAGCAGAACCTCCTGTGAGCCCCGTCTGCTGCTGTCTCTCAGGCCTCTGAGGCCTCATCCATCTGCCTGTGAGGCTAAAAGGCAATGCCAGGAATAAAACTTCCTCCTAAGAAACGGTTCTAGCAAAACATTCAGAATATCTACATTAATATTCAGAGATTCCTGGTGAAGTCTACAGATAAAAATGATGTCGATTCACCACGGAGCATTGTGGGGTAGCTCTGGAAATTATGTTTGCTTATTTGTACTGGAATTAGAGATCAAGAAATATCAGCAAGGAAATAAAATCCTAAGAATTAAAATTTAAACATTTAATTATGCATTTGTAGAAGAGTTACTTCCTACACCTATTGTCCATGCTGGAGAAACTTCTGGCTCCGGCCCCAAATGTCAGAAGTCAAGGTAAGTTTGCCGAGTTATTCCTACTGTGTTAGATTTTTAACTAAAAACAGTCCTGATCTACATGGAAGAGGCGTGTTCCTCACTACAAGCAAGGTGAGAATAGAGATGCATTTCTAAAACCAGGGACCTGTGTGAGTAGCCCATCTTCAATTGGCTGCTTTCTTTGCTCAGAGCCTTTTTTCTTCTTCCTTGCCTTTTTGTTCGCTTATTTATTTATTTATTTATTGTTTGGCTGACCTCCTACTTATGGCAATCTTCTTGCCTCTGCCTCCCAAGTGCTAGAATTACAGATGCATACCACCATGCCCAGAACAGATACTAGTTTTTGCAACTCACAGAAGCTGAGGGTCACATAGGCCACCTCTGCACAGAGCATCAAGCTGGTCGCAGCTGAGGTCTGTACATACCTTCACAGCTGGCACCACTCTGGTCGAGTGAGAACCCCCGCTGGCATTCACAAGTGAAGCTTCCTGGAGTGTTCTGGCAAACACCCTTGGACCCACACAGGTTGATGTCAGATGTGCACTCATTGTTATCTGGGAGAAGCATGGGACAAGAAAGGAGAGTGACACTTCTCAAAGCTGCTTTGTATTGTTAAAAAGGAAAGGAGGAGGTTGACCCGGGGAAGTTCAAAATAGAGTGCACACTTCATACTATGTGTGCACAATCCAACTCGAGCACCCCACATGCTGAACACGGTGTTCTGTTATCTGACAGCAGAGAGAGTGGAGTCTCTTAGAGGAACAGCCGTGCTCCACACAGGGCTTCCTTCCTACTTACCGATGCAGGCGGTATGGTGCTGGGTAAAGCCAGGCGGGCATTTGCATGTGAAGCCACCGATGGTGTTAACACACAGGAACTGACAGTTATGCTGCTTGGTTGCACACTCATCAAGATCTGCAAGGAAGTGCAAGGTGGAATTCAAGTCGTGCTGAGTGTGCTCGGACGGGAAGCATCTCTATGCCCCGAAGGACTCCAGGCCAGCAGAGTCTGAACATTCAGAGTCAACAGGACACCTATCTGTACATTTCCACATATATCAGACGTAGACAAACTCAGATTTTATAGAATAAGGAGAGAGAGGAGCTTATGCTGCAAAGACTCTGAATGTAACAGCCAGATCACCATCTGCATCGGAACTGCAGTGGCCACTTGCAAGTAACCCTCAGAAGGTAGAAGAGGGTCACTAGATCCTCAGCTATTCCCTCCTACACTTCCTTCTGCTCAGCTGCATGTGGACTCCAGAGTTATAGAGAGTGGGGAGGGCTCACTGATGGGGACTCCAGATGTGTAGCTGCGGAGAAGTCACTGCCCATGCTGCGGTGAGTTTTCAGCATTGCACCACCGCAGATTACAGAGGTGTAGATTTGTTTTGCTTCAAATTGAATACAAGAAGAGATATTTCCCCTGAATATGTTTCTTCACTTGTATGAATAAACTCTAGCTCTGAGTCCTAGCCATATATTTCCCAGAACTCATAGTGATTATGGATGAAGACCATGTTTCAAATCAGTGAGCAAGTCCTGGGATCAGCGACTTCTTCCCCAGCTATGGGATGACCTAGAACCAAGTCTGCATAGGAGAGCCTCTGAAATTTTTATTTAATAAGAGGTTTAGAACCAAATACACACTCAGCAAGTTTTGAAAAGGTAATTTCTAGTTGATGAGAGATTTCTGCAGAGTTTGGATGTTTCATAATTCCATGTTAATCAGAGGAGCTCTTAGAAGGCATGGTGGCTTTATTTTGCAAACTTATCTATCTCAGTGGTTCTCAACCTTCTTAATGCTGTAACCCTTTAATATAGTTCCTCACGTTGTGGTGATTCGCAGTCATAAAATTATTTTCATTACCACTTCATAACAATAATTTTGTTACTGTTATGATTTGTAATGTAAATATGTGAGATGCAGAATATTTGATGGCCTGCAAAGTGGTCAAGACCCACAGGCTAAGAACCACTGATTAGATAGATAGATAGATAGATAGATAGATAGATAGATAGACGGATGGATAGAAACTGAAACACCAGTTTAATTAATAAGATACACCTTGAGATCATGGCATAAAAACCCCTAGACTCCACTGTAGTTGAACAGACAGTGAATAAATGAAACGAATAGGAAAGGAGTAGGAATCAACTGGGAATCGGCCTCACCAGAGCTTGGAGAGTTGGTACCAATGAGCCCCTCATGGACGTCATCCATGATGCTCATGGGGTATTAGCTGCTGCTACTAGCCTTCAGCAGCCTCCCTGGCCTCAGCTTAACCCCCACCCGCAGGGATCCACTTTCTACACAGGCACCAAGCCCAGGGAAGCAAGTCTTGAAGCTTGTCTCCCGATTATCCACAGGCATGACAAGTGGCAGGTGGGTGGACGAAGCCAAAGTCCCCTCACCTTTGCAGCTTCTTCCATCCTCTTGCAGAATATAGCCTTTCGGGCAGGAGCACTGGTAACTCCCTTCTGTGTTTTTGCATATAAAATTGCAGGGTTTGGGAGCCTGGTTGCACTCATTCAGATCTGTGATCAAAGAGAGTAAAAGCCCACTTAAAAGACTTGCAGAATGCTCAATGTCTACACCTATAAACTCTGGGAAGCACTTGATCATTGCCTCATAATTTCCTATTAAGTATAGATGCATTTTAGATTTTCAGTGTGGGGTTTTCTTTCCTATAACCAGAAATTTCTACTCAGGAATAAAGCATTAAAAACAAAGTACCTACCTACACAGGCAGTCCCTGTTATATCTGGCGTGTAGCCAGTCTTACAAATGCAATGAAATGACCCTCTGTCATTGACACACTCCCCATTTCGGCAAACATCGTGAATAACCTTGCATTCATCAATATCTAGGAAAGATATAAATCATAGTAATAAATACATTAAAATACACAATGGGTAACATTAGGTGTAAAATTTTATTGACTGTGTTACTATATTATGAACTAAAAATGAGGAAATTTCATATGCAATGGTAACTCATTGAACAGCTAATGAATGACTTTGTGAGGCGATGATGAGAAGCTACTCAAAGAGAAAGGCTTAAAATAATTGCTATTCTAAATTTGTCCTATTTTTCTCTTCTTGATTCCTAGAACAACACTCCACTGGCTGTTGGGCCCCTGGTCCATCTTGCCATCTCTCTTGCCTTCTGCTGGCATCACATGAACAAGTCCTAGCAGAGGACCCTTTGGACAAGTAAACTTCAGCGTTTCTTTCTAATGTTGTATGTCCAAAATAAGAAAGAACGCTCTCTAATATTCTCTTTGTCCTGTTTGAAGTTAATCCTGAAAAATATCAAATTACCTAACTCGCGGTGGGAGGAACGGGATCAACTTCCTTCTTTTGGAAATTAACCAGGGCTGTGGGGTAGTTGCAGGGCTGGGTTTTTGCAGTTTGCTAGAAAGTGACACCCTTATTCATGTGTCTATCACAGACAGAAGGGCTTGGTCAGTGTGCACTGATGGCATTAAAGCCACTCCCCTCCACCCCTTGACCCAGCTAGCACAGGGCACCAACGAAAGCAACTTGTACGAGTTATCAGCCCTTCATTGCCTAATAGTCATCTCGTATCAACAGAGGGGTGTGCCTGACCCTGTTCACCATGTGGTACAAGTAAACACTTTGTCGTCACTGATCTTGGTAAATGAGTCTCCCACCATCTGGTTTCAGCATCCTCTGAAAAGCAGGAATTGCTTTCTGTAACTCTATCTTCTCTGGCCCTTTCTTCCTTTACTCTCCCAGTTTCTTTATTTTGCCATCAGTCACATCTTCCCAACACATTTCCTTCCTTCTGCCTTTCTTTCTTTCTTTCTTTCTTTCTTTCTTTCTTTCTTTCTTTCTTTCTATCTATCTATCTATCTATCTATCTATCTATCTATCTATCTATCTATCTATCTATCTATCTATCCCTCCCACCACTTCCTGGAATACAACAGAGTACCAACAGACCCTCTTCCCAGTCCTTCTATGAACTAAAACCCAACTGTGATCACTGTTGCTAACAGTGGGCATCACATGAATTTCCTCAGACCCCTCCCTGGCCTCCACTCACATTTAGATTTCCAGTTGAAAGCAGCCTGTGCATTTCAGCACAAGTGTTCATTGCTAGCACACCAGCAGACTCTGTGCTTCTTTGATACAATACATTTTGGCTAATTTTGAGTTAAAATGAATTCTGCTGGAGTGGAACCAAATAACCATTTGTTTCATGTTACTTTTAAAATTCTTAAATGATAAACTATCTTATGGCAGATTTCTGCTTGACCCTTGCAAGGATCCAAACACGCCGAATTTAGTCAACTAGACCAAGGACACTTGGCGAATGCCCTGGATGTTGACAGCACTAGAAGAAAAGATTCCTGCAGATCTCAATCATCCAGACAAGACGAACCTATGCTGTCCACATTATGATGTCCACATTTCCATCGTTTTCCATAGTGAAACATGTAGATTCCTAGAAACTGATTCTGTACCATGAAAAAGACCTTGCACCTTTTGTCAACAACAACAAAATGAAGTACCTGCTCCATTGGTCATGAATCCTCGGCCATGTGGACACAGTTTCTTGTAAGCCACGGTGCCCTCGAAAGGGCAGATCTCACACTGGGGTCCCCAGCCTCTTCCTCCATCACAACAGCACTCAGACTTGGTGACGGGGTTCCTGTTGCTTGAGCCAATCTGGCACATGTTCTGTAGGACTTCCGTGAAGCAGTACCCTTCCCGGTTGTCTGGAAGAGACATTCCACGGCAAAGAGGAACTGAGAGGCTTTCCTGAGTGCAGCGGGTATTAGGAATTTGGTCTGATATAAAAAGGATGTAACACTTTACCCTGGGTGAAGAGGAGCGAGAAGGAAAAGCTGGAAACAGCAGGGACAGAGAAAGGAGGCGTCTGAGGGAAAGAAGACAAGAAATCCGTGAGTTGGCAGAGAGGCATCGGTGCAGGCAAGCTTACGAATCTTGGTGCCCCAGACATGTGGAAGAACAGTCGCAGCAGCCATGCTACAGAAAAGGGGGCAGAAAAACACGCGGAAATGGCCTGTTCACAAGGCCTTAAAGGGCAGCAAGAAGAAAACCCCAAGCTAGCAATCCTGTGTGCAATTAGCAAAGGAAGAATTTCGCTGCCGGGGGGGGGTTCCTGAGTCCAACCCAAAATCAGTCACTAAGTCATCTCCCAAGGATGAGTGTTTCCAGCCCTTTTGCAATTTTTGACTTTTTTATTATTTCAAACCAGAAATATTGTTTTCAAGTGTCCCAACAAGAAGGCTGAGGGAAGGGAACAGCAGGTACTTACCCAGGCACTCATCCTGTGTGGGGCTGGCTGTGAAGCCATCGTTACACTCACAGGTGTAGCTGCCCCGGGTGTTGAGGCAACGCCCATTCTCACAGATCCCTGGCTTGGTCTGACACTCATTCTCATCTGTGTAGATAGAGAACAGGAATCATCAGACATTTTAGAGAAAGATCGAGGTCTTTTTCCTTCCTTTCTTCTTCCCTCCCTCCTTCCCTTTCTTCTCTCACTCTCTCAATTTACTTTGCAAGCAGGCACCCTATTCACCTGGTTAAAAACTGGAAATCCAGGAAGGGCCAGGAAGAAAATCCATCAAGCTCTCCCTTCCTCGGCCACCAAATAATGCGCCCCTCACCCCTCTCACCCCTGCCCCAGACTGCCAATTTCTGCTGTGCCCTTCCAGAGATGGATTATGTACATAAAAGTTTGCACATGAGTGTGGGCACACACACACACACACACACACACACACACACACACACACACACACACACACGAGTCCTGTGCATCAAGATTTCTGAAAGGTCAGTTCACACACAGGAGGGGACTGAAGCTTGACTGTCGTTGTAAAGAGATATATTATTTCATCAGAATAATGCTAGTAAGTTGTGTTGACCCAAGGCCAGGCTCCAGAAGTAAGTTTGTAAAACCCTATCTCAGAATAAAAAATAAAATGGCCTGATGTGGTTTAGTCTGGAGCATTTTCCTAGCACATGGAAAGCCCTAGGTTTGACCCCCAGAATGGGAACAAACAAACAAAAATACCACTATCCATGCTGAACTCAGACTAAAGGAATCAGAACATGTGAGGGGGAAGTCCACCTCCTCCAGAAGTTCTCACTGCAGCTGAGCCTTTGACCTATAACCAGCGAAGGTCCAGTATGTGACCATTGATCCCCATACTTTGTTCCTCTGAGCTTCCAGAATCTACACTTAAAATTACCATTCCGTATGTATCTTAGAGAATACCAGGGCAATGGGAAACATTTTTTTTTCCTCACTGGCAATTTGAAATATAACTTTGTTATCATTTACTTCTAAAAGTACATTCCAGAAATTTCTATTTTCTCCTATATTTGCTGTCTCAAACAAATGTCAAGAAACCTTTTCATAAGAGGTTGGCTGATAAATATTTTAGGTTTCCTAAGCCCTATGGTCTCTTCTGCAACTACCTGATTGCCTCTGTGTCATAGAAGCAACCACTATGACACACATATGAATTGCTAAAAGTGCATTTTAATAAATTTATTCACAAAAGAACTGGCAGCCTGGAGGGTTGGATTTGGTTGGAAGCTGCAGTTTGCTATTCCGTGATCTAAGGTTGTGATTCTCAATACTGGATACACATTAGAATGACCTGGGAGCTTTAAAACACCAGTGCTTGGACCCACCTCAAGGTAATAGCACACTTCTTGAACTTAGAGCCACTGCTTAGAGGCCTCTCACAGGGGGTTAGTAAGACAATTGAGTCAACAATGGTGAGGACAATTGGTGGGAAGACATGTCTCCTGATGGCCACATGCACAAAGTGCAAAGGTCAAATGTGGGTGACCCAACCCTAGCATCAATACAGGCAAAGAGAATAGGGAAAGGCCTGGCCAGGGGAGAGGACAGTAAGGTCTCTCCACCATGAGCTGTGACACAAGGGTGGAACACATCATCAACCTGACTCGGAGCTCAGGTCACTTCTGCCCTGTGATTTCATGTTCATGCTGAGCAATTTGCACAGAGACAGTCTTACCTATACAGCCCTCTCCATCAGGTCTTCGCTGGTACCCAGGACCACAGATGCACATGTAGGTGCCTATGAGGTTCTTGCACTCCATTTGCTTTTCGGTGCAGTCATGTTTTCCCTCCGCACACTCATCCTCATCTGGAAAGAATGCATAATCACAACTTACAAACAAGCTGCACCGAATGCTTGCCCTTTAAACACAAGATGGTCATCTCTGTTATTTTAATACTGAGCTTATTTCCTTTGGCATCTGTTGGACATTCATATATTAAAAATGGGAGGCAATATTCTAACCAACTTTGAACTTAGTAAAGAAATTGCTTCCTGACCAACCGATGACCTCATCAGAAGCATGATGCTATGCAGGCCCTTTATGGATGCCCTTGCTTTATGTTTCATACTTGCTTGCTGAAGCATTTAAATCCTTATGACTCAATGGAGTAAAAAGACCCTATGTTATTAAAATACAACATTATTTCATAACAATGATAAAATTATTAAAACAGCACTATGATAACATAATGCTTTTATATGTTATAAATATTGTGGATTATAATAACAAAACAAACCTGTTAACGTAATAATTATTACAATGTCACATGTTATATGGTATTATTTTAATATGGTAGCATTAACTAATCTAATTAGTAGAATACAGTATCAGAGTAGTCATTGTGTAAGTGAAGCTTTAGTTTTAATTTGAAGAAAGGACTGAGCATCTTATTCTCCATCTAAGCTCTAAGAGAACATCTAAGCTATCCATCCTTCATTCCCTTTTCTTTGGGTTGGTTGTGCTCTCACTCTCTACTTTTAATAACATTGCATTTTTCTGTTTTCTTTTTTCTTCCACATTCTAAGCTGAGGCATTTGGACTTTATTGTGCATGGCAAGGAACCCTCAGTTAGGGTAGCTTCTGCTTCATACAAAACAGGATTTTAGCCATTCTGAGAGACCAGGTGTTTGCACATTTTGATCCTTGAAGAATAGCCCCAGTTCCTATGATTCGGCCTGGTCCCACACTCTGGAGATTGTCAGTGTTCAGTAAGACTTTTTAAGGGGAATGTGTTAAGGAAAACAGATTTTGTTACCTAATTTTTGAAACAGAATCTCCTTCTGTTATTTTAGATCCTCAAAGTATTTTGTTTTTTGAGGTTTATTTTTATTAATGTGTATTATGTATCTACATGTAGATACCCTTGGATGCCAGAAGGGGGTGTTAGATCTCCTGGAGCTGGAGTTACAAGCAGTTGTGAGCTACCTGTTGTGAGTATTGGGAACTGAATTTGGTCCTCTACAAGAGCAGCAAGCACACTTAATCACTGAGCCATCTCTCCAGCCCCTCTCAGAATATTTGATAATATATATATATAATACTAGTCATAATTATGATACTAGGATTATTTATTTTTATTTTCATCTTTTGTGTTAGCTACTACATATGGAACTCTGAGGATGTTGGAAAATACCGCTGTACAGAGAGTAAGTACAACTTCATAGAATGACTGACATATCTCAGACAAGTAATGCATAGCAAACTAATCCAAGGTTTGCAGTACAGCCCTCACTGGGCTTATTGTGCCTCTTGATACAATCTAGAGGAAAAGGAAGAAATGGAAACCCCTACATTTGCTATGGATTAGGAGACTACACTCAATTCACAGCCCTGATCCACTAAGGGAAACTTTTGAAGGACATCTGCCCTCATATAAAGAGACAGAACATTCTGGCTTGGATGAACTCTAACAGGACTCCCACCTTTGCACATCCTTCTGTCTTCTCGTAGAACGTATCCAACAGGGCATTTGCATTCATAGGACCCATAGGTATTCACACACCGGAAGGCACAGAGCAGAGGATTCTGGGCACATTCATTTATGTCTGCAGTAAAAGAAAGTAAAAACATGGATTAATGACAACAAGAATGACAAAAAGAGAGAAATGTACTTTTATTAAAAGTTGAAAGTCAGCAGGGCTGGAGAGATGGCTCAGTGGTTAAGAGCACTAACTGTTCTTCCAGAGGTCCTGAGTTCAATTCCCAGCAACCACATGGTGGCTCACAACCACCTTGAATGAGATCTGTTGCCCTCTGCTGCATGCAGGCAGAAGATTGTATACACAATAAAAAAAGTTGAAAGCCTTCCTTATCATAAGCATGAATAGATCGAGGAAAATTATAAAAATGAGCTGATTTCTGGTGGCCATGTCTGTATCTCTCAGCTATCTCCAAGCTTGCTGTCCTGGTGCAATTATGAACTTGCATGACTGAGAAGCAAGAAGTCTACCTTGTACAATTGGAAGGCTCAGGTTGACCAGTTGTCTTTTCCTTTATGGATCATCTTTGCTTCCTTCAACTAAAGCAGTTATGGTCAGAAGAGAAGCTGAGCCCCCTAAATGCTTAGCCACTTCTCCTTCCCCAAACAAAGGTTCATATGAAACAACAGGCATACTTCTGCCAAAACAGACTTTTCTGGTCATTTTATACTTAGAAAAATGCACTTTACATAGATTATCAAGTTCTAGCCCCGATTAAAGAATGACTCTGTCTTTCCTGGGCAAAGTGAGTCTTCTAGAGTTCATGGTTTAGAAATATCAGGATGCATTTCCCAAAAGTAAGAAGTTGAGAACAACCCACCACAATGATCATTTTGCTTCCCAAGAGGAATGATGTGGATGGAGAACAAGACTGAGTGTCCAGGTCATGATTTATTCACAACCTCTAAAGGTTCACAAAACTGTGAGGGTACCAACAGCCTGTATCTCTGGTAAAGTGCTCCCTTCAGTACCAACGTTCCCTTCCCTTCTTCTCTTACACTAGTGAACCTCAACTTGAACAGCACCTGGATCATCTGGACAGCTGTTGGGCCCTACTTGTAGAGTTTGTGATTTAGTGATCTAGAATGAGGCCAGAAAGTTTGCATTTCTCGAAATTTCCTTGGGGGGTGCTTAGACAAATTGTCTAGGGACCAACCACTCTTTGGCACTCCCTAATCTTTCCTTTTCCATACTCCCTTCCAGGCAGTCATATTCACAAATAATTTTCAGATGCTTCTATGGGTTAGGCAACCTCCCTATGGGACTGTCTCCAGATGATCACAGGATGTCAGTGGTTATCTAGCTCTGTGTGCAGATGTTTCTAAAAGGAGAAAAGAAGAACATAAAAGAGGAGGGAAAAACCCTTGGAAATAACAACTACAACAACAAAAAAGGAAATAGAAAATTAGACAGGAGTTGTATTGAAATATCAGCAGTAGAGACACACTAGTAAATACTCTGATATAGACAGTATAACTTTGTTATAAGCACCTATTTTTTATACTTCCTGCAAAGATGAGACCACACACAGAAGAAATGATGCAACAGTCCACCAGGCTCAGATGTTCTTAATTCTTAATTAATTATGAAAGATATCTGATTAAGAAATGTAGTCAAGCAACTGTTCCCATGATCAGCATAGGCAACCAGATTTTCTGCATTTGTGGCACTTGCCTTCACATGTCATCATTGGACCAGGTTCGAATCCCTCCTCACAAGTACATTCAAAACCTCCAATCACGTTCTTGCAGGTCCCATTTCCGCAAGGATTGCCCACGGAACATTCATCAGTATCTGCAAGTGATCCAAAGTGGAGATAAGGTGAGTGGAGATGAAATGGGCTCAGACACAGATACCACTTTTCATTCTGTCCTAGTTCTTGGGTCTGCATTATCTTGCTTAGTTCTCCTGTTCTTGCAAGGAAGGAATGTGCAATCCTACAAATCACAGGTTTATACAGAGAGTTTGCCCTTGCTCAATGGCAGAGACAATGAGAGATCTGACCGCCCAGCCTTATACTTCCCATGTGGTTTTCTGCAGCCTGTCCTTAGGGAGAAGTGAATCTTTCACTGGGAGTAGATGCTCTGATGACTAAAATAAGATCCCTACATGCAGCCAGGGGTTTCTGCTGGTCCAAAGACAAAAATATCCAATTGCCCCCCCACATTACATCACTGCACAAGAAGGCTTACACATGATGGAGTCTTGCCAGATATAAAATAGAAGACTAAACTTACGCAAAATAAGAGACCTAAGGTTAAATAGAATTAATATACTGAATAAAAGCCAACATTCAAGTAGATTTTGTTGAATTTGTTAAAAACCAGATGGTTTATATTAGACAGAAAAAAGGCTAGAAAAAAAGAAAATATGTTTAGGGCATGACCGCTCTAAACAACTATGGAGAGAGAACACACTTTACAAAAAAAATCCCTGAAAAATACAAATGCCTCCTAACACATCTACCTGGGACATCCACTGTTCATATTCCTCATCCAGGCCTTAGGGAGAATATTTTCCCCTGGGAAAGGAAGAATTCTATTTTTAGAATTAGCACTGCTGTTTCTAAGCCCAGGAAAACAGTGGGCTCTGGTCAAGGGCTCCTTTTTGCACATATGCCGTAGCAAACTAAAGATTCCAAAAAGACAAGATTGATAAAAATTTGTTTCTGTTTTGCTACTAAATAACACTTTACAGCCAAGAAGACTCTATCTCCTTTGATTTAATAAAAAGCAACAGCATCATTGCAGTTTAGAGCAGTTTGTGTAATTTGGAACAAATCACTTCATTTGCATAATAATGCACTCAAGGGTGGGAGGGGGTGAGTAATACACTTAGGCTCCCACCCTTAGCCTGCACGCAGTCTTCAGACCCCGACTCCTTACTTGAAGACAGTACTTTTCAATTTGTACAGACATTCGGTGTTGATACCACACTTAATCCATGCTATACTACAGCAACATTGCTTTAGAGTGCTCAACCATAATACTTGAATCTAGCTTACAGCCAACGTAATTAAGAGCCAATGGTCCATACAGGAGCCATTCTTGGACATTTTAATGAAAAGGCTAAAACAAAAAAACTGGGGTGGATGGTCTTTCATACTTCCAAATATGCAATATTTGGCATATCTGCAAATAAAAATTTGTATTTCTACATATCAAAGTATAAATTATGGCCACTAACGGTATATTTTTTAAGTTTTTTAAGTTGTGCTAAGACTTCTGTTTGTTGTTGTCCTTTTTAGTATCTTTTAGGATGTGTCCAGTATCTGCCTTCCAAGTTAGAATACAAAGGCCATGCAAGGTAGAATACAAAGACCATCATTGCTTGGTTCACTGCCATAACTCCCTACCTAGCACAGGGTAGGGACCAGCTAGCAGTCTAATTGAAGAATTCCCCAATGGAGGAGCAAAACTAGACTTGAACCATGGTAGAGTAAAAGCCAAGTAGCTCAATTTTTGCATAAAGAATTCCGAAGAGAGAGGCTGAGTCACTACTCACCCACACATTCATTCCCTTCTAGAATATAACCAAAGGGACACTCGCAGCGATAGGAGCCATCGGTGTTGATGCATTGTCCATGCTTACAGACATCAGGCTCTTTGCATTCATCCATATCTTAAGTGAAGAAAGAAAAAAACAGTTAAAAAAACCAAGGTATTTTTCATAAACTCTTGTCATTTTGGGGTGTTCAATCAGTGAATATCTAATATCACAATACGACTATCATCCAAGTAATGTAACACCAAATAGAAGACATTATTTCTCCCAGGTAGATGTGGAGAAATAAGACCTGGAGGGAGAACAAAGAAGAGGCAGGGAGGACCCAGCCTGGAGCACTCACCAACTGCTGAGTCATCAGGGCCCACAATGATCCCACTTCCAAAGGGACAGATCTGGCGGAAAGCCTCTGTGGTGGAGATATGCACTCATTAGTGGGCAGAGCAGGGACAAGAGGCTTCCCACGCCCCCATCCACTATGTGGTTTGGCTGTACACACTGAGAGATATGAATAAGATACCCAGAAACACGGAGACATTACCAAGACTACTAACGATGTGCCTATTCTTTGTATAACTAATTTATAACACAATTACAAAAGAAAATAACTACCACACTCTTTTGATAAGATATGTCTAAATGGACATTCTGATCACACTTAGAATTTGATTATCCTATTGCCCCCAAGGCTTACACTGTCACTCATTTCATGATCATACGTACATGGGATCATGCAACGAGAAGCAAAGGTGTTAGACTTACCATCTGGCTCCGTGGGGCACAGCTCACAAGGGTCTCCCCAGCCTTCTCCCTTCAGAGCACAGCAGCACTCCTGCTTGGAATGGTTCCTGGATTTGGGTGATGAGCATTTTCCACCTTCAAACTTTGCATAACAGTAGCTCATCCGCAAATCTGCAACACACATCCACAGGACACGTCAGTGGCTTTCCCACTGAATCTTCATTGTGTGACAGCTGGTCAGTGCACTCTCACTAACCATAGCTATATTCCATAAGTGACTGGAATTACAAAAGAGCTGAGACTGCTAAAGTCACAGGGAACCAAGAGTAAGATGGGATGAACAAATTAATGTTGCTTTATACTGGTTCCTCGGCTTACCCACTTCCACAAAGCAACCTGATATAAACACTACAACCGTGTCAGTCTTAGCAAACTTTCAGTAATGACTTCAGGACTGGGACATCCCCAGATTGAATCACTCTTGTGCAATGGCTTTCCTTGTGTGGATTTTATACAACTTTTGGCAAGCAGACTAAGGCAGGAGAGCCTCCTGGTCCTAAGGCATGCTGTCATTCTGTGTCCTATACACCCTGGAACCAAAGAAAAGCCCACACCACAGCATAGAACAAATGCTAAGTGTGTGGAGTGGCCAACTGAGTCACCAGGAGCAATCATCAGAGTAGCTACCCAAAGAATGGTGGGGACAAAATTTAAGTGGGACTTTCTACAGCCTTAAACTCATGCATACATAGCTACATCAAAATTAAATTTCCAACCAGAGTCTGCTTAGCGCAATAGAAAGAAGAAGAAAAAGGAAGGCAAAAGGCAGGACTATGGGTGGGTACAGGCACAATAACCTTCCTTTCAAAGAATATATGTACTTCTTTATATTCATTACTGCTATGCAAACACCAAGGAAGAGGAAAGCTCTTTCTTAGGAAATGCTCCAATGTTGCATGACATAATTTTGGAAGCCAACTTTTCCAGTTTGTATAGAACAGATTGGGTAGTGAGCAGTGAGCTCATCTAGGAGCCTGGAATGTGTTTCTTCTTCTAACTTGGCGTCCAGAGCCCTGCACAGCTTCTCCTTCATTGCATGGTGGCTAAAATCTACAGATCGGAGGGCACGCCTCTGCACTCGTTCGTACCATTCCTCCTTTCTTCGGTTTCTGACCACCTCTGACTTGTGCATTCCCTATCACTTGCTTTCCAGTTCAGAAAGCACACTCTCATAGCAGTACTGGCCACCCAAATGTTTGCTTTGTGGAGAAATACCAAGATTCAATTAATTCTCATTTCTTAGGGGACACCTTTTCATCTGTTTTATTCGTCAAGTTCTTTGTCACATACATTGTTTTGTATAAACAGCGTTGTTTTTACCACTTATTCTTACAACCGTCCTTAGATTGCTGACCTTATTCTAGATCCAGTTTTGTCTTCTCCACCACTCTCCTCTACACCAAAAGAAAACAAATATCTTGGATTCAGATGGAGACTCAAATTCATGAGGTCTAAGTCAATCATAATGACAGATTCCTTTCCCTGAATCTTGCAGGTAAGAGTGCTGCTATAAAATGTGGCACTCAGAGCCGGACTCTGCCCCTGAGGATAGTGACATGTGGTGCTGCAAAACCCGAAATCAGTGGTTCTGTGGAACTTTCCCATTTTATGGCTACAAGAAGCCTGACTCAATTAGGCTTCAAATTTCAGGTTCCAATAGAACCTTCACTGAGTAGGAGACTTGCTGTCAGTCACATTGATCCTCTAGGTGAGCTTATGTATCACTCAAAGGCACCCTCCACAGAGAAACAGTCCTGTGTTCACACACAGGTACACTTCAGCCAGCGCTCACTAGGATGCCTGTTAACAGCCCATCTGCAAACAGCCTTTTCTGACCTCTGAAATGTCTTTGGAATTATGAAAGTCCCTGCTTGCATTCCTCAGTTCTGGCTGAGTATGTGGCAGGGTTCTCACAGCTGGACTGGTTCTTCCTGCAATGTCGGCTTGCCCTGTGACAGGCCACTGCAAATTGAATTAATAGCCTTGGAGTTTCCCCTGGCTTGCCACATCGGCAGACTCGCTCGCACCTGGCTTCTCACTGCTTTCTTTCCAAATGCAGGCCAAGCCAAAGACACAAATGAGTGGGTAGAAGTCAGACTGCATCAGACGGGCCTGTAGCACACAGGCAGAATATCTACTTGAATCCTGCTCTACCCCAGTCACCATTCTGAAACACTTGTGGTCCTCTGATAGTTCCCTACAAGATCAAACTGGCCAGAGAATTTGCAACTTTCCCCTTCATACTTCTGCAGTGATCAACTGAAAAAGTAAAATCATATCCAGACAGAATGATAACAACAAGCATTCATTGCAGACGCAGAGACAACAGAACTTTGTCGTGCACACAGTAGGATTGCTTGGGTGGGTATTGGTGTGGTTTGTGTGAGCAAACTGCATTTCTACACCATTAAATGGCTTCTCTGGTTTAAAAGGCAGGCCTAGAACCCCAAAGCCATATTTTAGAATTTTAAATTATATTCTAAACCTATTATTTGGTGATATGAAGCAAGCCACACACATAAAACAAGCAAACAACCAAATAAAAGCACAAGGCAACATATAGACACTGACAGAAATTATAAGTGTAAATATTTATGGGCTGTCCCCACCCTGTAATTCATTAAACTAGTTTGTATAAGTATAGCCAAATAGCAATTGCATTGTTTAGGAATGTCTATAAACAAGTTTCTGGGTTTTAACCAAACATTGTTTTGTGCTTATTTTCAGAGTCTTTTAAAGTTAATCTGGCAAACCCTTGAATATTTTCGCCCTTGACAAGTATTATTCTGTTTCCCCAGAGAATGTGGAAATGAAGATGGGCATCTTTGTTGGGGACAGGTGATCAGTTTGCATTTTCTCTGTATGAGGGTCTTGGTTTGCACCCACACTCATAGGCTGCACCTTCCTATAGCTCACCCCCTCCAGGTTCTTGAGGGTGCCCCACCGAGAAGCCTATCAGCATCTGTGCTTGTAGGAGGGAGAGGAGTCTAAGTGCCAAGGATGTTGTATAAGCAACTGCAACTTGATGGATGAGTTTTTAACCTCCAAAGTAAAAATGAACCTTCGGGCATATGGTAATCATTAGACCTGTGGGTGAATGAAACATCTTCCTGTTCACCAAGAGTCAGAGCTTTGCCATGTTTAAAACATAAGACCACAACAAATAAACACAGAACAACGAAAGTCCAGCGCTTTCAGAAGCATTTACCTTGGCACCTTCTTCCAGTTGAGGACAGGGAGAACCCTTCTGGACACAGACATTTGAAACTGCCCTCGGTGTTGCTGCAGGTTCCCAAGGCACAGATTTCTGGTTCTTCAACACACTCATCAATATCTAAAAGAGTTACACATTCAGAGTGAGAATTCCATGGAGACCCCATTAGTCACCAAATCAAAAATGTACATGCTCAGGATTTGAGTGGCTTCAGAACCATTCTGACAGGGAAGCAATTAACTGTGATATTATTTTAAAGTGAATTTTTAGAAGTTACTTTTGACAGATCTTGATGCAAAACAGAGTCTGTAAGAGCCTTTTAAGAGTTGAAATGATGGACCCCTTAATCGTGGAGGTGCAGGGCCAGTCACAGAAATGACAACCTCCTTACTCATGGGAGTGCACAACCAATCAGAGAAGTTCACTAAATTCACACTACATTGATCTTGGATAGAGGTAGAACTCTACTCCCCTGCCTCATCATTGCACACCACAAATCCAGGGCTGATCTCAGTGTAAGCTGATTTCCCTCCACTCACGAATGGAGCTTTCTCAGACCCCATGCTGCAGTCTTAAAAACATTAATAGCTATATAAATAAGCACAATCCCATCCCAGAAGATGACTCTGATCTGCAAGATAGTTTTTCTGAAGATATGAAAATCTTGTATAGACCAGGGCTATTCTTTCATCACAGAGCTACTAAGAACTGAATGTATATGTCAATTAAGGGCAAAATACCCATACATATAAAATAAATATTTTTCAAAAAAAGCAAAAGAAAAAAATTGAACAAGTCTTTTAGACTTCATTTTGATAAGATGTTTCTACTTAAAATATCACCACTGGAATGTGGTGCAAATTGGATTTATACTAAAATTTCTCATTGGCAGTATTAAAAGTAGAGAAAACTCAAACTCATTGTGATGACTGGCAGACCTGTTTAAAGGTAAAGGTGTGAGCTATGTGACTTCTTGAGAATCCATTCAACCCTGTTTATTTATGAAGTTTTTTTTGTAGTGAATACCCCTCACTTAATGAAAAGGAATCTGTGCTGAGGTTAAAGGAATGGAATGTCCAATAATATTTGCTGAGAATTTATTCTCTAATAATACATTTCTACCTACCTACAACTGAAGACATCGTACACAAACTACACAACCACTTTCACCCAACCTTAAACATGGACACTTAAAGAGCTTAAGTGGATGTGGGAGCTGTTTTTAGCTGTCAACTGTGTCCACTTAAAATCATCTAATTCAGGATACCATCAATGAGAAAGAGCTAGGGCCCCCAAAGCAGCCTGGGCATAGAAAGAAACATCCCCAGTGATCAGGACAAGAATTGGCCATTCCTGTCTTGACAGAGAACGAGGTCCAAAGTCACCCTCTGACTTAGATTAAAAAAATATATGAAAGTATTTCAGACTGAACATGCCATTACAAAAATGTGTGATTTCAGTGATTCTATGACACGCCCCAATCCTCTCAGTTCCCAGTGGCAGCCCCTTACCTTCACATTTGTCCTGCTGCAGACTATATCCAGGCGGGCAAATGCATCTGTAGGAGCCATCCAAGTTCTGACAGGTTCCAGGTGCACACTTACCAGGATCCAGAACACATTCATTGATATCTGCAGAGAAAAGAGAGTTGGAGAGAGGCTCCTGCTGGCATGATGTCCATTAAACAGTAAACTCAAGCAAAGGAACCAGAATCAAACCAGAGAAGCACGCACCATTCATTAAAGGCCACAGAAATCCCCCAAAGAGTAAACAACTGCTTAAAAAGCTTTCCAAAGAGTGCAATACAGTCACATGTTATTCTACCTGCCACAAATTATGTATGCCAAGAAAAGTGTAGTGTGTGCAAGGGGTTTTAAAGACACTTGAAAGATTCTGTGAACTTACCTCTGGAGGGGTATTTTGAGCAAAATATAATGAATCACAGCTATTATGTAAACATTTAACAGTTAAAATGTTTTCCAAGATTATAACCTAATTTTAAAATAAGAAGAATGGTATGTATGCATTTTCTTAAATTAAAAATAAAGTCTTTACAGGCAAGATTAGTATAATCCTACGGTGAGTTTTTTCCTCTAGCGGCCCATAGCAGGCTTAGACAGAGACTGCCTGATTCTGTGTTGGACCTCTGAGGGCGTTTCCTCAGGACTGTTTTCCTTCCTTCCTTTTTAAATGTGAAGGCTTCATAAGTACAATGTCATACTTTTCACCTTCTGTGTCCCCCTCCAACTCCTCCTCATGTTCTACCAACACCCCTCCTGAATTCATGATTCTACATTTATTTTTGTATTACACACACACACACACACACACACACACACACACACACGCGCGCGCGTGCGTTAGTATTTCCCTTATTTGCACATGTCACAGCTGACCCTTAGGACTGGCCTGTCCTTCTCACCATCCTGGACCTTTCTGGACCCTGCACTCACCCACACAGGTCCTGCCATCAGGGGCCACCTCGTAGCCCTCATTGCACCTGCACTGGAAAGACCCCACCGTGTTGACGCACTGGCCATTTCTGCAAAGGTTCCCATTTCCAGTTGCACATTCATCAACATCTGAAAAAAAAAATCTTCGTTAAGTTCCAAAGAAAATGTGAATCCCAGCCACCACTTTAAACTTTGGTGGCCTTTGTGGGCCCAGCCAAACATAAGAAATTACAGTGAAGGTCTGGTTTCAGCCACAGAACCAGCTGCAGGAACCCATCCAAATATAATGAAAAGATTACATTATCATATTAAAGCTGGTAATTTGCATGATAATTTTGTAGTAGTTTTTGCCTAGAATTTATAGTTTTTGACTTTTTGCATTTTTTATTTTAAAAATTTAATTAGTATCCACAGAATTAGGTTTCATCATGAAATTTTCAAGCAAAATGTTTTTGTAGATTTTTCTGCTCCACTCGGACTCCCCCAGGCTCTTTTCACCCCCAAACCTCCTTCTGCTTTCATTTCTAATGTGTTCCTCTGCCTTCCACACACTTCCTCAGTACCTCCTTCTCCCCATTTCTGGTCTCTTCATTTTAGATTTGTTTTTAAAAGGTCAAGCTGATTTAGTAGATACATAATTCAGATGAAGTCATACTTCAGTATTGCAATTAACTTCTAATTCTATAGAGTATTTGATTCATTGCTGCTTCTTAGCATCCCTTCTTTACATTATTTAGTTTAGAATAATGGGTATCAATGGTGGTTTCATACATATTATTCTTCACCTTGCTCGCACTCACATTCCTAGTACCCTCCCTGTCCTTCCTGCCCTCCCACTGACCCCTTCCTGGTCCTCAAACATTCTTCCTTCTGCCTCATGTCATATGCATATATGATTTATATAGTACACACATAAAGTTAAATCTAGATTCTGCATCTGAGAGAAAATGCCTATTGTGTCTTATAAAGGAGATTTTATACCCTTAATACGTTGTTCATTTGGAGAGAGGCTGCAGAGAGGCATCTAGGCAAGGAGTTCCACACTCTTCTACAATTGTGTAATTTATAGACTTGTTTTTGTATATTTTAACCTAAAGCATTTATTTTGAAATTTATTTAACTTAAATCAAAGTAGCTATAGAATTATAGCTGCTGATACACAGTTTAATGAAGGCAATAGCATTACTAAATATGACTTTTAATTAACCCATTATATTTGATAATCAGGTGACCATCTGTTAGGTGGAAGGTTGCACGTATTAAAGAGCAGCCTGCACCCTTACTGAGATGCAGGCAGATGCACGACTTGGCGCCATTCCTAGGCATACTCACCTATGCAGTCATTGTTGTGAGAAAGTATGAAGCCATGATTGCAGCGACAGTTGAAGGAGCCAATTGTGTTTCTGCAAGTCCCGTTCCCACAGGCATCTCTCTCACACTCATTGATGTCTAGGAGGAAGAAAGGCCAGAGAGAGACACCATGACTAAAGCAGAACGTGATTATGTCATCGGGGTTGCGGAAGAGCGGTTGAGGCTGCAGAGCATCTCCCCCAGGAGGCTGGAATGTTTTGGCTGATGGCATCAGTGCCCTGGAGAAGCTGAGGTCAGAGTCTACACCTTGGAAGTCCAGTGTTTCCTCACTTGGCACATGGGACGAGGCAAGATGAGGACATGCAAACTGGACAGAAATTTTATTCTATTTGCTTCTCAGATTCTCCACCCTTGCCACTTTGCTCAAATATTTTCGCTTGAAAATGGAAAAACTTCTGTGTGCATCTGGACCTTCATTTGTTGCTACCTTTGGCATACTTTAGCTTTCAGGAATCGTACTCCAAGTTACCCTAAAGTTGTGACTCATGGGCTTTGCTCTGCAACCAGCGACAAACGCCACTCTCTAGCTAACCTGCCACTCTGGACTTTTCTCCTTTCCCCATCAGTGATAACTTAGCAATCTCTCTGAACTCAGCTAAGTGATGCAACAGTACCCAGCTGGGTGCAGTTCAGGAGCTCTGGTATCATATGTCTTTTTTTATTTATTGGTTTATGGCTTTTCTCTTTGGTGTATTGTGAAACTTATTCTAGCAACTTGAAGATTGGTCCATTTCAGCACAGCAGCTAACATCTGTCTTACATACTATATTACAGGGGAAGTAGAAAAACGTAGTTATCTGTGATTCTGATGGAAAAGTTACTGCTAGCTCCCCAGTGCCATGAATGTGGACTGAGCATCACATCCAGATAAGTGAGTTGCTACACCAGTCACCTGAGAATTGGGAAGGCACAGCAAACCTGCTGTGTTCATCCACAGCCAAATCTGTTAAGTTCTTTGTTAAGATACATTCTTTGTTGGCAGGTTCTGCAAAGTTCAAATGGAGAGAGAGAGAGAGAGAGAGAGAGAGAGAGAGAGAGAGAGAGACAGACAGAGAGAGACAGAGACAGAGAGAGCATAACAGTGGGGCAGATTCCTGTGGCAATGCAAGGAAGGGTAAGAAGCCACCCTGGGATGCCCAGGCCAGTTACGGAGAAGATGAAACATCATTCATGGATGGACCTAGTTATAGCCAAAGGCAAGTAATTTAACCAGGGCTCTGAAGGCTGCTTTTCCAGTATAAGTTTGATTCATGGGCTTAAAGATCCTCAAAGGCCCAATGGATTTGGTCTTAAATTAGACAAAGAAGGAAGGGCAGTGAGGCCATGACTGCTACATATCTGTAGAGTCCTCTAGCAGTACTGAAAGGGGAGGACTTGAAACCTTCACCACCTCTTCCTCTGTGCCCACAGGAAAATGATCTTCGCTTTCCTCCCTTTGTAACAACTTTTAATTTGCCTTTGAAGATTTGGTACAACCTGGAGACCTTTAGTACATTCAAAGGTAAATCTGCTCTGCTAAGTGAGCCCTCATAAATACTACCTAAAGTCACACACTATTACTATTAATATATATTAAGGTGTTGCTTCAATATATTTCTCAATTTATCTGTTAGTTAAACATTTTTTCTGTGGCTGGGAATGTGACTCAGTGGTAGAGGATTCCCCTAGACTGCATGAGGCCAGAAGTTTGATCCCAACCTGCAAGAAAAGGATTTCTACACACTGGCAGTTCAATGGATATCAAGGAAGAAGGTTATTGTGTTCAGATTGTCAAAGACTATGTGGTATGTCATTGTAGACTCTCTTTTATTTCTATTTTGTAATAGTCCACTAATTAACAAACAACTTAGTATTAAATCTTGCACTTGCTCGGATGCAAACGAGTTCTTCAATAAGATCTGAAGAAACACACAAGAGTGTGAGCACACACTTACCCAAGCACATGGTTTGATCTGCATTTGTCTTGAAGCCTGTATGACAAAGGCAGTAGAAGCTTCCCACTGTGTCGATGCACTGTCCGTGGCTACATATGTTGGGGATTTCTTGGCACTCGTTCCGATCTGCAAATCAAAGGCATTTTAGGTGGATGCTATGTACATCTATCTGCATGTTTTCTTACACAGAGAGGAGACTCAGATCGTAAATTACCGAACAGCTTTTTTTTCCAGGCATTGCTCTTAGAGTTAATGCAGGTAGTGAAGCAGACACTGGCATTCTGTCTACTTTCACTTTGAAATCGGTTAGCTCTTACTTTATTTAGTATCAAGTGAACCAATGAGACAGCTGCCTCCACCAAAAGTATCTTGAAAGAGAAAAAGATACTTAGAATGGGGAGAAGTGTTTTACAAAGTGCCTAAGCAGCATCTCAGATTGTGAAATTAACATCTCTAGGTTTTGCTACTAAAGATCATGGACACTTGAGGGCTTCCTTGAAAATTTGTAACAAAGTCAAACATGTTATGCCTTTACTAAAACACTGACAATGTCGCAATGGAATAGATGCTCATAGTCTTATTGCTTGGTCTCACTCCTACAGCTTTCATTCTACCACATCCTGGTTTTGGTTGCAAATCCCTGCTGTCTATCTACTGGGTCTACAGACCCACCATTCACATCACCTCAGAACAACAAGCCCTGACCCTGGCTTATCTACTGGGTCTACAGACCCACCATTCACTGTTACCTCAGAACAACAAGGCCTGACCCTGGCAGAGATCTTTCCCATAGCCATTTCTAAGCAGAACTGATCAGTCAAGACACTGTCTCAAATGCAGGGGGAACTGGGATTAGACATCTCAGAAACTATGGCTAGCCTACAGAGAAAATAGTTAACAAATCTCACTATTCTCATTTGAGAAAATATTTAAAATGAAGAATGGATGGGCAAAGAAAGGATTTTCACTTTCATGAGCAGAAAAGGGAACCGCCCTGGAGGAAGGCTGGTCACCATCAGGTGTTGCTGGGTCTAGGAGTATGCAAGGACCAGATACATGTCTTAGATCTCTTTTGTCCCATCCTATGACCTTTTAAAAAACAAAATATCAGGTGCTTGAGGTTCTGGTGATAAAGCAAAAGGTACCATTTTAGAGATCCTAACAGTGGAGCGTTTACTTCTCTGGGTCTAGAAAACTAGGAATCCATAAGATCCAGGATTCTAATTCCCAGGAGA